CTCTCTCCTTGACTCCTAGCTTTCATTCTTTTTCAACTATTTTTTCTAGTTGTTGTTTTTTTATTGTTTTAAAAGATATTTATGAGATAAGTTTTTTTATTATTATTATGTTTAGTATTCTTTATAGTTTTTATGTAAACTCTCCGATTAAAAAAATAATAAAAATAAACCATGTCAACTATAAAATGCCAATTTTATTTTATTTACAACGAGTTTTAGAAACGAGTTTAATTTTATAATTACGAATTATCAATCTTATGCTTTTGCATCTTGAAATGACAACTAAACTTATGCAATTATCCTCGGTTACTTATATGTCATAGCTCACTCATGTTCGTAAGCTAGAACGCACAAAACTATCTAAACCGATAATTGTTTCAATTAACACATTTTTATTTTATGTTTTTTATTATTGATTTTAACACTTGAAATTAAGAGATCTTTAGATTGGCATGCCTTTTGTTAGGTTTCAGCCATTACTAGCATCGAGACAACCATCAAATGCAAATTTTTGTTTTCCATCTCAAACTTGATTATTACTAGATTTAGATATCATAAGGGTTGAAAATTTTGAATATAAAACTCAAGTTTTGCGATTGATTTTAGTTTAATAATGGATTTGATATTGAAAGACAAGGTTAAAATGAGCTTCTTCTTCTTCTTCTTTTTATGTTTGTTTAGAGTGATTTGTAGCTAAATATTAGAGCCATATTGGTGAGTAATGATGGATGGGATTCTTATCCAAACTCTTCGGGGTTCATATATTAAAATTAAAAGGAAAATAGATCTAACTTTTAAAAAAAGATGAAGTTTTTGTAATTTTTAACTTGATCAATAAACAAGATGGATTGGATATCCACGTCCACATGTATAACGAAGGTTTGGATCCATAATTAATATCATTGATTTTTATTTGGAACAATATTACTTATATATATAATTTATGATCGTTGTCATAACCCATTTTCAACCCTCCATTCTTTTTCATACAAAATTTAAAGAAAAAAATTCAATTTTTTATTTTAAATTAGCATGTTGTATAGTTTATCTTTTCATGATTTTAGGCGGGTTTATAAATTTTTAGGATCTTAATTTCTTAGAATTATTTTCCATTTTTAATTTGAGAGAGAGAGAGAGAGAGAGAGAGAGAGAGAAGAAAAAGAAAAAATTGAAAAGATGATTTGGGATCTACATGAAAATGGTGTGAAAAGCAAGGACCGAATGATATTCAATTAGGTATATAATTGAAAAGGGATAACAAAATCAAGGAACTTGATTGAGAATTAATCAACATGAAATTAAAAAAAAAATCAAAATAATAAAGATCAAATAATTTTAATCAAAGAGCTACTTAAGAAAAATAATAGAATATATATTGCAAAATCTAAAAAGACACCACTTCAAGAGCCCTATCAACACCTTTTATTCTAGGACATGAACACTCATCGATACTCGAGAGGTGGCTACCGATGAGCCTAAGTAACACATGCCCCCTTGCATAGAGGCCCACAAAGCACATGATACTAGAATGTCTTTTAGCTATTTGCTAAATACTTTATTGGCTTAGTGGTCGAAAAATTCAACCATCTATCTATTTATCTTAATCATATTTTCGATTGGATCATTATTTTATTGGATATTTTAATGTTTGGACTTGGGCTAAATTAATTGGTCCCCATGGGATATGGATTCCTATTTTTAAAGATAATGATCGAATAGGTCTAAGATGATTAAAAGTTGGATCCTTATATGTTATAGATCTATATTTATTTAAGAGTCCTTATTTTATATGAAGTAATATTTATTTTAGGCAATGTATCAAGAATAAAAGACACATCTTTCATCTCTTGACACCTAAGTCAAGATTGGCATATGACAAGGCATTATGACTACTTAATTCTCTAAGAGGATTAATTAATTTATAATTATCTTTTCACGAGCATGGTTACCATACAATTCGGTTCATCATGTTAACTTATCACAATGTGATCTCAAACTTAATTATTAGTCTTGTTCGATTAAGATCATATAAGCTTTCTTCAATTCCCAAATATCTTAGCTCTTAGCGTAAACCAACTACACTCTTTTGATGTACTCCTACTATGACCACATATTTCTTAAGTAGACATTCATCGAAGTGCAATGTGATAACTCTTTTAGCGTAAAATGAATGATATGTCCTATCTTAGTCATTCACCTACCTTCATTAGATTCGTAGTGTAGCCAATAAATTATCCACCTACAACCCTATACCGGGTTCATCAAAATAATTATCAAAGTACATAAATCCTCCAATGAGATAATCATGATGACCTCAAGTTTAAAGATCATTTGTACCTATATTGTATAAGATTCCCATGAACTAAACCAAATGGGTTCTCATGGTGAGTCAAGTTCGGCTATATGTTTTCTAACATAAATCACCTAAGTGCTTGCTTTGGCATCATCATGTCAATAGATGTGAGATCTCCTACTGCTATCATATAGCATAAGTATAACACTCACAAGTCCAACCGCATATACTCAATGTCCATTCTTGACCATGTACTACTTGAGATATTTAACGATATCATTTATGTGCATTGGTATTTGTCTCACATCTTTCGATCAATCACTAATGCAAATGCATATCGTATGGATTTCTATCTAAATCTATACAATGAATAAATACAAATGATAAGAATTAATATAAAGACTTCTTTTATTACAATCAATATAAATAATGCAATAATATAACAAGTCAAATCTAGTAAAAAAAGGTTGGATCTTAGACACCTACACTAACATAAAAAGATTCCTAATGTTAAATAAATTTTTAATGGAAAAATAAACTCCTAAAAAATCATGTTACTTCCATTAAGAAAGAAATAGATGATCTAGATCAAACAAGGTAACTTAAACTAAATTAGATAACATGAATCAACTAAGAAAAGTGAATAAGAAGCTTAAATTTAGCCCAATACACAAAGAAACTCTTGAACCCATTAGGTCTTGCACTATTTAATCTTGTTGAATATTTTAGACCACACTCCCATGTCGAGCTATTTAGGTAAAAAAAAAAAAAAAGAAAGAAAAGGAGGGTTATCTACTAAAGATTACGATGGATCCACTTGAAAGAAGAAACATTCTTGATCAAAACCATTAACTTAGGCAATGAGTCTCCAAATTGAGTTAGAAGAAGTTGAAGTAAGAGATATGACAAAGAAAAAATCATCTTGAAATCTTAAAGAGTATTAAACAAATCATCAAGGATCACCTATGATGGTAACAAAAAATAAATAAAAATAAAGATCTCCTAACTAGTTATATATAAACAAAGAGTGTGCTTCTCTATGATTGAAACGTGTTAGGCCCAAACGAGTAATTCCAAAATAACGTGGCTTGATTAGATATGACAATAGAGTAGGTGTATTGGTCAACAAAAATGATAATCGTTGTTTTTTTAAGAAATATACGAAGAGTCACTATTTGCTCCTCTAATGATGCCTCACATGCAAACCTTTGCTTTTCCTCTTTAAAGCAAGCACGTGTCTCAAAGTGCTAGACATAAAAAATATGCAACACTAATTGGCTCAAATAGCAAAGTGACTCTCTAAGAGCCAATTGTTAACCATCTCTCCATCTAGAAAGACACCACTTCAAGAGCTCCATTAACAACTTTTATTCTAAGATACGAAAATTACCGATACTCGAGATGAGGGTTATTGATGAGCCCAAGTAACACGTGCCCCCTCTCCCCTTCCCCCGCACGTATAGAGGCCCATAAGGCATATGATATCGAGTGTCTTTTAGCTCTTAGCTGAATATTTCATTGGCTCGATGGTCGAAATATTCCAATGAAATATTCGACCACCTATCTATTTATTTTGATCACATTCTTAAAACATATGGTAAATGATGAGATTGTAGATCCTTGATCCAAGAATGGATGGAAGAGTATTTCGCTTGACTAATTATGCGATTATAGAGAGTTTTGACGTTGTGATTTTGATGATAGTACCTATTTTTAAAGGTAATGACCGAATAGGCCTAAGATGATTAGAAGATCGATCCTTATGTGTTATAGGTCCATATTTATCTAAGAGTCCTTATTTTATATAAAATCATATTTATTTTAGGAGTTCAAGTATTATTTAGATCCTTATTTTATATAGACCGCTATTTCCCGTCATCCGATATGACATTAAATGTCTTTTTTAAAAAGAGGATACACAATCAAACTTAACATGTTCTTAAAACACATGGTAAATGATGAGATTGTAGATCCTTGATCTAAGAATGGATGGATAAGCTTTACGCTTGATTGATTGTGCGATTATAAAGAGTCTTGACCTTGTGATTTTGATGATAGTATCCGAAAAACAAAGTCCTTATCTTGAATTTAGGAGGACACTCTAATAATTAAATTAGCATACAAAGATAGATAAATATAATTTTAAAAGGCTTAGTCGTATAAGTTGTATGTGCCTTCTTATTAAGCTTATGAAGAGTATACTTTTTCAATAACAAGGAGAAGATATACAATGATTATTATTATTTTAGAGAGAGATAGTCAGATCCCTTGTGGCCGTTGTAATCCCTTATTTGTAAGGGAGTATGTCTTTTAAGAGACCGTATATATCTTTCTTATGGGATTGCTTGTTACACTAGTAGTTGGAGTTTCTTGTAATATGTGTAGATTATAGGTCCTCTTCGAGACTTGTGCCTTTTGCCTGGTGTGGTGTGGTGTTGGTTAGGACACGAGTAAGTTCCGGTCGTAACTGTCCGGATAAAGACCATGTGCTGGTCCTCTTGTAGTTGGATTGTGTGACTTATTTGGGCATTAGTTTAATCAGTAAAATCAATTCCATTTTTACTTCTCATTTAAGTGAATAATCATAGATTACATTCAACCTTTCGATTTGCATGATTTCTGTCCTTTCTACCAGCTCTACCCTACAACTAATCTGCTTCTTTCCTACAATTAGTGTCCTAAATTTTAGAACTATCTCACTGGACATTTACATGATAGAAAATTCATCATCCACGCCATCCAACTCTCCCCTAAGACTGTGTTGTTGGATGATCAAAACAGAGGTTGTGTGAGATGAATCAGACCCTGAAAGAACATCCCCTATTGGCCCTAGTTCCGGACACTGCTGCCAATCATTCATCCCGATCGTCAATATCGAGTTCACCCTCCCACCTCGCCCAACTATTATTAGCCCATACTGGCCTTCCAATGATCTCAGAGTAGCATAGGTCTCGGCTGAATTGGCAACATGCTTCTCGCTATAGGAAACACGTCCCCCAGCAATTTGTCGTTCATAGAATTGAGCAAAACACTCATCGTCAAGCTTCATCTCTTCTTCCTGCTCTGCAGCATTTATCCTATAATTGCCAGCTCTTCTCAAGGCCGTCTCTGAATCACTATCGAGTAGAAATCTTATCACCGTGAGTTTTACTCCAGGATGTCTTGCAACACGACCTGCATATGCTAGTGCTTCTCTATCATCTTTGCCGCCAAAGAAGATGACTGCTACTTGGAAAGTTCTTTCTGACTTCGATATTTTCTCCACCAATCCATAACCTCGATCCACAAGAATCCCCACCGAACATGGGGCATTCCGGAGCACCTACTTGAAACCAAAACCACATTTACGCAATATATTGGCATTACGAGTGATAATTTTTCACAGACAAGTTAGGAGAATGCAGAAAATAGATAAGCGACGCTTAGTTTATGATGTTAAAGCACATATGCGTCAGTTCCTGGCTACAGATTGAAAGACAATTCCTCGGTCATATATAACTAGTCATAAAAGAAAAAATTCTTCATTACGTTAGGAGTCCTTTATCTTTTTATTATTAAAAGTTATTGATTAGTGATAATTACCTTACGGTTCACATATCGAAACCCAGGATTACCCCCATCTAATGTCCCATTTGCACACCGGTTCTTGTGAAATGGCAATATGATGAGGGAGATCAACAAGTCCTCTGCTAAATTGCAGATATCTTTGGCCATGCAATTGAATGTTGAAAGAGCAAGCATTCGTCTGAGCGTGATACCATCACCATTTTCCTCTACAAATGCTTGGACTGTAGTACTGATCTGATCTCTCATCTCGGTTACATCAGTGTCAGTCACAGTAACAGTGTCCATTCGTTCTTGAACAAGTGTAGAAGCTATTTGATCTGTGAGTTCCACCATGTCAGTAAGATAAACCAGAATTCCTGGATCAGATGCCCCTTGAGAAATCTCCATGAAGTTGATGGTTGAAGGCACGTTATGCACTCCATGAATACACAGCAAGATCCGGAGCTCATTCGAGGGGTCAAGCCACTGAAGAGCCATTCGTTGAGTAGGTGCACGTTTCCTCGCACGTTTAATGATTTGTGACACAACTATTGGGGTGTGTACAACCGAAAGGAAGATCACAATAATGAATGAAATGCTAGTTGAAGTGGTTGTAATATCTAACTGCAATCAATTTAACAAAATGAATACAAAATTAGAAATGAGTGAATATAATTTTCCCATTGGTAAATTGCATTGAATGCTTGAAGTTAGGATATGTTCAAAAATGCTACAAATGACCTGACCTTACCAAAACCAGTTGTTTCCCAATTTTTGAATTTGCTAAACTTGATTGTTTTGCAATTTTATTCAGATTGACAGTTTTTTTGCCTCAAAGCACAGCTGCAAAGATGAAAATCAACGGATTTCATGTAATGGGGCATGTAAACAACTACTTTTTTGGTTGCTCTTTGTCAGCTAAAACCCTCATTGCTGCTTTTATCAATAATGAAAGCATTTGATGACCTTTTTAACTGTCAATTATCTACTTGGAAATCAGCAAACGACATATTTCAAACTTAAGTTTCATGGTTAGTAACAAAGCAACAACCGAAGAAGAAAGTCAGTAACAGAACAGATATTGTGAGAAGCAGGGAACTTACCAGGCTTGCATAAACTGCCAGAAATACATGAAAGTGGCCCTTTGCAGTTAGAAGGAAACCGAGCTCAGCAGATTCACGCCCGTGAAAACCTAACATTATTCCGCATATGACTGTTCCGATCACTTTGCCAAATATTGTAATGAATACAAGGAGAAAAAACCTCCCCCATGTTCTCCATTCGCCAGCTTCAAATCTTCTGACATTAGCATGAAGCCCCATCCACAAGAAGAAAACTGGGTAGAAAATGGTAGGTAATAAGTAGTTGATTTTGCCAACTGCCCATTTTGATACTCTCCCCTCACTTGGTAAGAAAATTCCAGCCACGAATGCGCTGAGAATGGGGCTGTATCCATAAATCGGGGCACCGCTGCAAACAAAAGCCATGAAGGCAATGGAAAGCACCAAGTGGGAACCTTTCATTGGTTTCCCTTCAGGGTTTTCGTTGTTGACCCAGTTCATAAAGATGGGAGAAGCTGTGACAGTGAAAATTATTTGGAGAAGCAACGCAGCAGCCATAGTTACGGTCGATTTAATTCTTGCAGCAACATCGGTAACTGTGACTGTGGGTGGGAAAAAAGATATCCTATGCAGATGAGAAGCATGGATGCCATGTCAGAGTGCACTCCTGCTGCAATTACAAGTTTTCCTATATCCGACCTGCCTATTTTGAGACTGGTCATAAGGCGAGTTAGTATATGGGAGGAACTGCCAGAGAGAGTGACAGAGAGGGAAAGACCGAAGCCAATGCTAGGGTGCTTAGGATAGTGCACAAATGGGATTACGCTGCTGACTAAAACGATTGTGGACAGCATTCCAGAATAGGCTACCATAGCATTTCTTGATGGTCCTTTAAAGATTACATATGGATCCATTTCCATTCCCAGCACAAACATGTAACACATCATACCAAACTCAGCAATAAAATTTAATGTGGAAATAAATTGTTCATCGAAAGCATGGCGTATCAAACTGATGTTGCCAAGAACCAACCCAACCTGCAGCCAACGAAGATCACACACAAGAAATAGTTTCTCAATAACAAAAGCTTATTGCAAATAGTTGTCATATATATATTGAACGAAAGAAAGGGAGGGGTAAAAGAGAAACTTGCAACAATATCAGAAGCTATGCGTGGTTGGGATAGAGGCTTCAGAAGCTGGTGTAAGAGATTGCTGAAGAAAAATGCCAGGCCGATTGAGATTCCCTTTCCTCCTACATTTTCCACCGCATGTGCAATGAAATTAGTGCAATTTGGATTTGTAGTTGAACCAGTAGCGGCATGAACCAAGTCCATGCTCTACGTCTTTGCTTTTCTCTCTCTCTTTCTTTGTTATTCCCCCTCCTCCTGAATTGCAGAGGGCTGTTTGCAAATGAAGCCTTTCTGCTTTCCATTGAGTGCCACCATTTTTTTGGCCTCTTGGTTTTTCACCAGGGTGAGTTGTGTGGCTGTAATTGATTGCTTGCTATGAGGAGGAGATTGGGGAGTAAATTCAGGAAATTAAGCCATCTAACTGGTGTGGTGTTTTTGGAGTAAATTAAATCACATGATGAGCATAAATCAGCATATTATCATCCTGAATTATAAAATACGTCCAGTGATCCAAAAAGTATGGTTAATGCCTCGAGCGAAAACCATTAAATATTGACAGATAAATTATTAGAAAATTTTTATGATTAAATCGACTAATCAGGTATGTACATTTTCCAGCACAACAAAATAAACACAAAAATAAGAAGAAAAATTCCCACATTTTCAATTAGTTTTTTGTACGGTAGATCCTAAAAAATAGAACATAAAAACAGGCAAAATGAACCTCAGCGTGGTCGACAAGTTCATGGCTTCTTTCGATAAAATAAGCAAATTCATTGAAACGGAATAACCAGTACGAGAAGAGATGCCACAGAGCTACGACAAATGAGAGAAGTAAGAAATAAACAAGATATATGATTCCTATTTACTAACAGATCAACTTTTCTTTCAGATAAGTTTCGGCATGCCTAAAGCATTGCCTGATGCTTTCCTTTCTCTCCCAACGTCCAAAGTCCAAGACTTTTGCTATTCGTTTCTTCGTTCTGACGATTCAGCTTCTGTTTAATTCTAATTTTAATTTTAATTTTGCAACTGTGACATTTTCACTTTCCTTTTGCTTTAATGGCGTCGCTTCTGTAGACCAGTCATTAATGGTCAGGAATGCCATGCCGTTGACTTTTGGATCCATTTTAGTCAAACTATAAAGTGATGGTAGATTTATTCACAAGTTCACTACATCTGTTCTCCCATCTATGACTTGGCGTAACCGGACTGAATAGGAAGTGATGATTCATATACACAACCATGACATGGTTTTTATCCTAAGCCGATTCTTTGGTAGGTAGACAGAACTCTTTCGGTAAGCATAGACTGGAACCTAGCCGAGTCAGCTAGCTTGCATCTACAAATGCTATTCTCAGTATTGACATCTGTTCGCCGCCGTGCAAAACCTGGCGTCATAATTTGTTGCCTCATATATTATAGGCAGGAAAATAATGATCAACATCAACACGAGAACTGCAGTTGAGTCGATCATGAAATAGTCAAAAGAGAGAAGAAAAAAGAAAAAAAGAAAAAAAAAGGAACACAATGCACTTGAAGATGGTTAGAAGATTAGAAAGGGTCTTGAGTATGGCCAAACGTAAATATTATTAATCATCCAACTGCCTTCCTCCACTAAAAAGACAGACCCGGCGGTCCATTTTGATCCATTTTTTCAATTTCTTAGATAATCATAGAGCCGCATTAAAGATAGGCAGTCTACTTGTATTCACACAATTATAAGTAATAAACAAACTTTTAAAAAAAGAACTGTCATGAGAAAACGAGTGAGTTCCTTGGAACTGTTACAACTTTCGACCAAATTCAGTTGTCCCTTAAGTTACCCTAGAAGCATGCTTCTATATGATAAAGAGTTGTATTCGCGTGTTGGACCTTGGCTAGAAGAGTTCGTTGGATCACATTTTTAGCCACTTTGGCTTGACAGGTTTTTTCCCAGCAGCCTTGGGCTCTTGTGGAACAGGAGGAGGAGGAGCTGTTATTACAGGTTCCGGTGCAGTCTCTACTGGCTCGGGCACAACATCCAAACCTTTCAAAGACATAACCTCTTCTTGGAGGAAGGGGCCAGAATTGTGAGCTGCATTATCCTCTCCTTTTGGCATATCATATGAAAAGTACACGATCGCGCCAGGAACCAGACCAGCCGAGTAAAAATCCAGTGATAAGTCTTTGATTTGCTTCTTTGGAGGAGTAGTATACAAATAAAAAGGTACTTCTGGCTGAGCGAGCACTCTTGAGAGAAGATCAAATAAGTTCTGAATCTTTTCAGATGGATGAAATACTGCCTCCAATGTATGATTATCAGGAAAACGAACCCTAATTGTAGTCTTAGTTATCCTTGACCTGCGAGCAGCTTCTTCTGCATCTCGAATCTTTTTCGTCTTTAGATATTTATCTTCCTTCTTTGTTGACAGAAGTCGATAATAATCCTCTGTAGTGAAGTCATAAAAATCATCCATCTCCTCATCATTGGAGACTTGAGTCGGTGACGAAGAGGCTCTGCAGGTTTCAAATACACGGAGATCACACCCAAACTTCTCTTTAACAGCTGCAAACTTGGCCTTGGCTGCTTCAGCTTCCATGATATCAACTGTGGTGAGTCTCCTTCTCTTTAGATGCAAAGGGGGAGAACCATCCACAATCATCAGTGCATTTAGGGAATCCAATATAGAGAGAGTCTTGACCAATATAGACCCCCACTGTTACTTTACACTCCTATTGGCCAAAAAGGATTAAAAAAGCAAATTTAAAAAAATCGAAACCTTTTTCATTCGCCAACTAGATTTAACATAGGAGAACTAATCCAGTACAAAATTTGATGCATGTTTACAAGAGAAAGCCACTGGTTCTCGAAGTACGAAAGTTGCAAGTTACATATATACCCATTGACAAATTTGCAAGAAACTTAACAGGCAATATAAAGAAAAACAGAACCTTGACGATGAAATTTCAACAACAAAAAAGAAAAGGTACAACGTTGGAGCATTACAAGAACAATGAAGCTTAAGAGAATGAAAATACAACCATAACAATGAGAAAGTAAGATCCTTGAATCCTAAAACCCTAATCTCATAAATTAAAAGCCAGATCATGAAATTAAAAGCTTAATGATCAATACTGAAATCTCAAATCTAAACAAAGTTTGAAACCCTAACAGCAATAGTTAACAAAAACCCATAATTAATTAGCTTGCAATTAAACGATTATCCAATCAAAGATCGATTAGGGAGTGAGATCATTTTACCTGTTGAAATCAGATTGGGTTTTAGCAGCTTAGATTTCAATATCGAGAGAGAGGATTGCGTTTTTCTGAAGAAAGAAGGGACGACGAGATAGGAAATGGATAGCTATATTCCAGATGGTAAAATCTCCGAATTCCACCGAGAGAGAATGATGAGTGTGTGGGATTGGAAAGGAGCAGAGGAGTGTTGTGAAATTAGAGCCTGGAGGGGAATTAAAAAGGGTGGAAAACCGGCTTTCTAAGTTTCCTTTTCCTTTTCGGATAAAAACTATACTCCTTTTCTTTTACAAAACTAATTTGAAAAAGAAAATCCCAAAACATTGAATTGAAGAAATTTGTGTTAAACTGTCCATGTTTCACGTGACAAATTAAAAATTGATGAATGCTTGACATGGAAATGGTCACGCATTTATTTGTTCATGGCAAACAGTGGATCTAAGGAAGTTTTTTAATTCTTCTCTTTCTTGTATTTCATAACCCTCTAAAAATAATTTTAGTTTAATGACGTATATAATGAAACAATACATACTAATTATATTAAAAATGTAAAAGTTAAATTTAAATCCTTTTAGGCATGATCTAGATTTTTTTAAAATAATCACTGAGAAAAAAACAAGTTTACAGAACCATCTTATTATTATTAAACAAATATTCCTTGTAACAAATTTATTTATTCAAACGCATTTCTTATCTTATATAAAAACTAAACATAAATCAAATAGAAAATTTTCAAAATGATAATATGTGCGCGTGTGGTGGAACCGAAACTAGCAATCCTATAAATCAAGAGTAATAGAACCCTGGAACTAGCAATCGTATAAATCAAGAGTAAATTATAAATTAACCACTTGCTGTGGCGCAGTGGCCAATGCCTGGGGCCAAGGGGTTTGCTCCCTCTGTGGTCTCAGGTTCGAGCGCTGCCTCCCACATGCAGTGGCCACTGGCATCTTACATGGTCGATAATGTCGGGGCCCATGGGATTAGTCGGTTGACGCGAAAGCTGGCCGGATACCCATGTTAATCTAAAAAAAAAAGAGTAAATTATAAATTAGTCCATCTAGTTTTTTTAAAAAATAATTAGTCTTTTTTATTTTTAAAATTATTATTTAGACTCGTTAATCGAGTGTCGATCATATTTAATTTAATATTATTTTTATTCCACAAAATATCTTATTTTTTAATCAATATTTTCATATTTTTTATTTTTCTATTTCTTGAAACAAAAAATCTAAATAAATTTAAGCAAAAAAAAACAAAATTACAAGCAAATTTCAAAATATAGAAACTGAATTATTAGTTTTTAAAATAAAAAAGACTAATTAATTACTTTCTCGAAACAAGAAGGGCTAATTTATAATTTACTCTATAAATCAATCATTATCTCTCTTCACAAACCATAAAAATACATATAATAAGTCATTTGAACTTCATGTTGAGTTTGTTAGATTAATTAAAATTTCAATTTTTTTATAATTGTTTGGGTCTATCTCATATTTGATCTCTGTATTGTTCGAATTTTTTTAATTGAAATCCTCGCGACTTTGAACTTGATTGAAATATTTTACTCTTATAAATTTATTAATTCGGACATTACGTTAAATACTCATCCGATATGATAGGTTAAACTAACATAAACCAATCACAAGTGGCCATGTGACATAGTAAGTCCCAATTAACAATATATCCGTTTGAAACAATTAAAAAAATTAAAAACATTTTTATTATTAAACTCATACTCGTATTAAAAATTTGTAGGAAAATACAACATTGCCCCCATCCCATTATCATAATCTTGACAAAGATACAACTCTTTGTTTTTTTGGATCTCCAAGGTATTCCAAACCCTAAGGCTTTTTGTTTCTCCTAGGGTATTCAAAATCCAAAGATCCAAACTAATTATTAGTTATTCTGTCATAACACATAAGACAATATATAACTATCCAAAGAGTTTTTTACGTACACAAAGACTCGAATTCGAAATCACTTACTTAAACGATTACAATTTCTTTCACTTAAATCAACCCTGTTGGGTGAGTACAACTCTTTATTTGTTCATAAATAAAGTCGATTTTCCTTCAACAATCCATTAATATCAAAGTGTATCTTTTTTCTATAACTGAAGGAACATGGGTTGAGTCTCCACATTTCATCTTGATCACACTACTAACCTCTTTTGAAGAATACTTTTTATTGGCTCTAAAAACAACTAATTCACCAATTCTTCCTCCGGGTTCTACACGATGATCGTGCTCTAAGTCAAAAATCGATTACCAAGGTGAACATAAAACACCTCTTTATGTTTCGACTCATGCACACCAAGTGTTTGATAAATTCAATGAACTTCAAATTTACAATTTCCTTTAAAAAAAACACACTTGGTTGTAATAAATTAATAATCAAAACAATAATAGTTACAATCTAATAATTAAATCAACCAAAACATTCAAATCTACATAAAATTTTACCGAAAACCCAAAAGGCGAGGGAAAAAATCGATTTAAAACCTAATCATACGTGACCTAAATGGTAAAAAAAACACGAAATAAAAAAAAGTAATAGTTACAACCTAATACTCAATGTCAAATTTTATCAAAAAAACCAAAAGATAAAGGAAAAAGTCCATTAAAAACTAATATGATGTCACTTAAATGCCATAGAAAAACATAAAATAGCATGGCATCTAATTTTATTTTTTTGTGCACGCTAACCAAAATCTTTCAACCATGAAATCAAAACACAAAAAAAATTGCATTTGACTTTTTTTCAACCAAAATCTTTCAACCATTAATTTTTTTTAAAAAAAAAATTGCTTCTAATTATGGCAAATAAGAGAGGGCGATTGTGAGAGAGAGTGAAGAAGGAAAGGGGCGCACTTTTAGTTTTGGCAGAGAAGAGAGTGATTGTGAGAGAGTGCGAGGAAAGAGTTTTGAATCTTACCCTCTAATTTTGACAACCTTCTAGACGTTCGTGGGAGAGGTAGAGAGGCAGCTAGGGCGAAAGAATGATTTGGGCTAGGATGACGGGGGTGGGGGTAATATTGTATTTTCCTCTAATGTTTTAATACTAAGTGTCAGTTTAATAATAAAAATGTTTTTAATTCTTTCTTTTCATTATTTCGGACGGAGATACTATTAATTGAGATCTACTATGCCACGTGTTCGCTTTTGATTGGTTGTCGTTAGTTTAGCCTATCACGTCGGATGAATATTTAACGAAGAGCTCGAATTAATAAATTTATAAAAATAGAGAGTTTCGGTTAAGTTAAAAAATTATAGAGAATCTCAATCAAAAAAATTCAAACGAGTATAGGAATTAAATATATGGTAAACCCATAATTGTTTTGCTATTAGTAAAAGGATGGCTTAAAGATTATCATCCACTTATCTTATTAAAAAAAAAAAAATTAAACGGAGGGACTGATTCAACAAGTTGGTAGAGGGTCTCAATCAAAAAAATTGCTTGTAATTGATTGTCGTTAATTTAACTCGCCACATCGGATGAATATTTAATATAAGGCCCGAATCAATAAATCTGTAAGAGTAGAGTGTTTCAATTAAGTTAAAAAATTATAAAGGATCTCAACCAAAAAAATTAAACGAGTACATGGATTAAATATATTGTAAACCCATAAGTATTTTGCTATTAGTAAAAAGATGTCTTAAAGATTATCATCCACTTATCTTATGAACGGAAAAAAAAATCAAAACAAATAAACTAATTATTATTCAATCACTATTCGCCTACTTTAATGTATGTTATTCACTTGGTATTGTTGTAAGTTTTTTTTATATATTTATTCATTTGAAATTATTGTAATTTTTATTATTTGTTCATGTGTTTGTGATATTATTGTGATTTTTAGCATTTGTTCATGCGTTTGTGATAACATTGTTATGATTTTTGGTTTTTGTTATGACATTTTATATGAGTTTTAACAAATATTACACTTTAGTTCTTAATTTTTAATTTTTTGAAATTTTTGTTTCAATTTTCAGATTTGTTTAAATTGTCCCCAAAGATAAAGAGACATGAGAAGAGATAAGGAGAGAGAGAGAATGTGATGATAAAACCCATTTTGGCTATTTTGATTGTCTATCTTCATTTTAATTTGTTCATTTTGAAAATGATAGTTCTTTTATGATGATTCCAAACTGTCAAATGGTCGAATGAAGACGATTGATATCCCAAAATATTCGTTTAAGTTTTTGAATTTGATTTGGATTTTTGAGTTTTTATGTAATATTTAAGAAGTGATAAAAAATAATTAATTTTTATATGTTTGAAGCCTATACACGAGCATCGAGTGCATATGGTTTAGAAATAAAAATATTTGTTAATATAAAAAATCCACCTATCGTATTTACTTCATAAAGTTAGCTGATTTTTTTTCTAACGTTTTGATATATTTTACTAAATCTCCAACATGACAAAAACCATGGAACTATAATAATTTTTTCAAATCATCTCATATATTCTAGCCATACGTAACTTTCCGCATAAAACTAGCTAATTATCTCTAAAAACAATCTTGACAACCTGTAGAGAACAAGCCACTCATGAAAGCAAGCGAAAACAATATTTGGTACTTGAGTAGTTAAGATATCGAAGCCCCGAAACTATGACAAAGTTGTTTGCCACCCAAAACCTCTTTTCTCATCTTTTGAATCAGAATAGGTCGTGACTAGCGGGCTCTTGTATTTTCATCAGTCCAAGAAAATGTTACTTGGCCATCTTAGTTGTTAGAAAAATACATAGTATTATTAAATTCATCAATTAAATTATTATTTTATTAATTATTGATACATCCTTCACTAATATGTTATATAATAGTAATTGATAACTAATAAAAAATATATTGATAATTATATAAAAAAATGATAGAAATAATCATTTCATCGATGAACTTAATAGTATTAAAAAATATAAAGAAGAAGAAAGATAATCCTGTTCTTTGTCTAACTCAAAATGCATGGTAGTTTAGAGAAGTGCTGGAATAAAATTTCACAAGAGAATAAAGATAAGAATATAGTAAAACAAAAACTCAAAATTAGTTTTATATAACGAGTTCCATTTTTAGTTTATTTATTTATTTTATATATATAGTTAAAAAACGCACTTGGATATTTTCATGTGATTAAATTAATTCATTATATGCTTGAATGTTGTATTAGCATAAACTAGATTTTTTATCCGAGCTACGCTACGGATTGGATAAAATATATAAAATCATATAGAAAAATTATTTCAGTTTAATAATTTGTTTTATGATAAAAAATAATTATAATTTTTAAATGAAAAAAATTTATATTTAACTATTTCTTATTTGTGTTTTTAAATTTTAGAAATAAATAATAAAGCAAATAAATTATTGATTTCTTGAAAATTTTAACACCCAATTAATTGTTGGTTCTTTTAAAATTTTAACACCTAATATTATTAAGAAATTAAAATTAAAAAAAAATTCAATGTTTAGGGAAAAAAAAAAGGAGGCCAGCTGTTTATTGTTCATGTGAATAGTAAACGGATGGAAATTAAAAAAAAATTAGTGTTTAGAGAAAAAAAAAAAAAAAAGAGGCAAGCCGTTTACCATTCAAATGAACAATAAACGGGTCAAAAAAGGGAGGGGAGGCTAGCGGGTGCTGGCAAAAAAAAAGAAGAAAACTTAAAAAACTAAAAAAAGCCAAAGTAATATAGGAATGAACAGTGATTAACACTCGTTCATTGTTACGATGAAAACGGATAAAAAATAATTATAATTTTTAAATGAAAAAAATTTATATTTAACTATTTCTTATTTGTGTTTTTAAATTTTAGAAATAAATAATAAAGCAAATAAATTATTGATTTCTTGAAAATTTTAACACCCAATTAATTGTTGGTTCTTTTAAAATTTTAACACCTAATATTATTAAGAAATTAAAATTAAAAAAAAAATCAATGTTTAGGGAAAAAAAAAAAAAGGAGGCCAGTTGTTTATTGTTCATGTGAACGAGTAAACGGATGGAAATTAAAAAAAAATTATTGTTTACGAGAAAAAAAGAAAAAAAGAGGACAAGCCGTTTACCATTCAAATGAACAATAAACGGGTAAAAAAAGGGAGGGGAGGCCGGCGGATGCTAGCAAAAAAAAAATGAAAACTTAAAAAATCAAAAAAAGCCAAAGTAATATAGGAATGAACAATGATTAACACTGCTCATTGCTACGGTAAAAACGGATAAAAAATAATTATAATTTTTAAATGAAAAAAATTTATATTTAACTATTTTTTATTTGTGTTTTTAAATTTTAGAAATAAATAATAAAGCAAATAAATTATTGATTTCTTGAAAATTTTAACACCCAATTAATTGTTGGTTCTTTTAAAATTTTAACACCTAATATTATTAAGAAATTAAAATTAAAAAAAAATTCAATGTTTAGGGAAAAAAAAAAAAAAGAGGCCAGTTGTTTATTGTTCATGTGAATAGTAAACGGATGGAAATTAAAAAAAAAAAGTGTTTAGAGAAAAAAAGAAAAAAAGAGGACAAGCCGTTTACTATTCAAATGAACAATAAACGGGTAAAAAAAGGGGAGGGAGGCCGGCGGTGTCTGTGAGAAAAAAAAATAAAAACTTAAAAAACCGAAAAAAGCCAAATTGATATAGGAATGAACGAGTGATTAACACTCGTTCATTGCTACAATGAAAATGGTTTTTCTTTAGTATATTGTATTAGATTTTTTACCTATGCTATGTCGTGGGTTGGATAAAATATATAAAATCGTTTAGAAAAATTATTTCAATTTAATAATCTGTTTTATGATAAAAAATAATCATAATTTTTTAATAAAAAATTTTGTATTTAACTATTTCTTATTTATTTTTTAAAATTTTAAAAATAAATAATAAAGGAAATAAATTGTTGGTTTCTTTAAAATTTTAACACCTAATTAATTGTTGGTTCTTTTAAAATTTTAACACCAAATACTATTAAGAAACGAAATTTTAAAAAAATTCAATGTTTAGAAAAAAAAATATAGGGTGCAAGCGTTTCTTGTTCATGTGAACGGTAAATGGATGGAAATCTTTTAAAAAATTCAATGTTTACAAAAAAAAAAAAAACAAAAGGAGGGAAGCCGTTTACGGTAAACACATGGGGAGGGGGCAACGAGTCTAGCTAAAAAAAATAATGAAGAAAAACGAAAACAACTGCAAAGCATGAACGAGTGATTGACATTGTTCATTACTACGGTGAAAAAGCGTTTTGCTTTAGTATATAGGATAATAATAACGAACTTTTTTGGTTTTGTCGGTACGGATCTAGTTTTTATTAATTTTCAAATTTTGTTTAATATTTTAACTTTTTTTCTTTAGTCCAAAAAATGGTAGAACTCAATTCACTACACTTTAGGTCTTCTCTTTATATTTAAAATTCACACACACACATATGTATATATAATACAAATGGTTCGTATGAAAATTTATTATTTCAAATGTATCAAGTCAATATTTGTGATGACATATTTAAAATAGTTTTTAAAAAAATAATAATTTAGCTTTAATTAGCATGAAAATATATTTCTTAATCGTCAAATCAAAAGGATAGAAACAAATGACTCAATAACAGATAGTCTGAACAACCTTAAACCTCAAAATAAATAAATGTCACTAAAAATGGAAATTAGAATCATAATAAAACAAGTTAGGATTTAAGTTTTCTTGACCAAATGCTTAGGAAAATTGGATCATTTAACATTAAAAGTATTAAAACAACAAGTTAGGGTTTAGGTTTTTCTTGAGCAAGTGCTTAGGAAAATTGGATCACTCACTGCATTAAGATGCTGTTTGGTAATAAGAATAAAACTAGAGAAAAATAAAGTTATTTACTTGCGTTCCACTAAAAGTATGCTTAAAATTGCAACCCACAGCTAACTCGGAAGAATTTACGTGCAGTCTCAATGGAAAGTTACCATATCGCTAGGAGGATAATTTGAAAATTGCTTTTTTTAATACCTCATGTAATTCGCTTCAAACAGTTGCATTTTAAACTGAAAGGCATATTTTCGCGAGTCAAAGAATTCTCCCAGTCTAACACAAAGCGTGCAATCCAAATTTAATTAATTAATCAGTCCTCTCTCCTCTCCTAATCCCACTGTAGCCCTCTTCCTCCCTCTCTCTGTCTAGAATCTTCTTCGATCGTTACAAGGCAAACTGCACACATTTATCTCTCTCTCCCCTTCAAAGACCCAAAAGCAGCTCCAGATCTCGTCAAAGTAAGTCAAAGAAAAGGAAGGCAATAGCTTCACTTTCTGTTTATTCCATAGTTTCATGGCCTTTGTTATTGCTTGTCAGTAGTGAAGTCAACTCCTCTGACTGTAACATTATACGCTTTTCTTATCTTTTTCATTTCAGTTTCGGTAAATAAGTATTGATTTATTATACGAATTGAACAAGCTCGTTATTTTTTTGTGCCTTTTTTCGCAGGATTTGTTTGTGTGATTAATGGAGGAGATTCAAGAGCAGCCAAGCCCATCGATTGGTAAATTTTCATTTTTCTTCATTTTTTTAATGGAAATTGGATAGCGAATTGAATGCTTTATTGTTTTCTCTTGATAGTAAATTGAATGACATAACAAGTACTGTTTTAAAAAAACAATTAAGTCAAACTTAATGTTTAAACATGTTGTCATGTTTGATTGGAAATTGCTTTAACTGTAAGCGGAGCATGAGCAAACTGAAAAATAACTGTTACTGTCCTTTATTTTTTTTTGTGGGCAAAGAAGATGAGAATGAAATAGTTATTGAAGAAGCTGCGGTTGTGCATGGTGAGCCTCTGCAAGATGGGAATGGTCCTCCGAAAGTCGACACTGCTGTTGAAATTCTTCAAGAGAAAGTCACTAAGCAAATCATTAAGGAAGGTCATGGTCAGAAGCCAACAAAATATTCAACATGCTTTTGTAAGTTCCAAGTAGCTTCTTCTTTTTTTTTTTTAATAACTCCTATGCATCGACATATTGCCCTTCCTTTTTTGGTCCCCTTTCGAGTTCATGACTCTGGGGAAGTAGGAGTTACAATTCGTAAAATAATTGAAAGCTAATATAGTCAGATCATTGTATGATCTGTGAGCTTGCTTCTGTTATGTTGCGACAATTCGTTTTGGTCAATCTTGTTTAAACTTGAATCATATTCATTCCATGACGTGACCTTATCTCGGAGGGTTTACGGAACGCAACACCAATGGATTAGGGGCTCGGGACTTAGCAGAGGTTCTAGCACTTTGAGCTTATTATTCATACACAAGTAAGACAGTCTTGGTCCAGCTACCCATATAGCTTTTAAGGTGGAAAATTCTGCAGGAGGTTCATTGACTTGGTTATTCGACAAGCAAAACAGCCATGCTATTTTATGTTAGCTATTACTGGGTTAGTTATTAAAACAACATTAGCATGTGATTTTAATATTAGAGGAGCTAGGCTTTTTGTTTTCACGACTGTACTCATCTCTTATCTTCAATTTTGCAGCCTCTTAGTATTGTATTCTTTGTTGCCCAAGGTTCTGGTACAGCTGTTGTTGTCGCATATGGTGTCTCGTGTTGGTGTTTTTAGTCATGCCTGTATGTGTTGTCATCATTTCTTTTATATACACACACTCATATTAATGTTTTTTTTTCCCTTTTTTTATGCGTATGGTGTTTGATGTTTTATACTTTATGGATATCTCCATGTATTGGCCTAAACTTTTGGGTTGGATGCCCTAAACAAAGAATTTAACATGCATGCACGCATGCTTTAGTTCAGGTTCCAAATGATCTTCGTTCTGTGTATTGTGGAACCTAAAATCTGAATAACTGTTTGCAGACAATGGCACGACATAACATGGACTAAAGTACTCAGCAAAGTGTGCAATTGTGCTCATTTTCTTTCTGGGAACACGTTCTAAATAATGTTAATTCTCCTTTGTGTTCTGTAACCTCAAAATCTGAGTAACTGTATCTGCATGATAGTGCACTACAGGGCATGGACTGAAAGCACTCGACACAAGTTTGAAGATACATGGCATGAACAACGACCAGTTGAAATGGTTTTAGGAAAAGGTATATGCCTACTTCATTCAGATTTTAAAGTCTTCAAATCCTCTTCGATCTGTTTCTTCTTTGGAAACTTTGCAGTCTGTTCTTGGTCTTAAGCAAGTCTCCTTTTAGTTCTGCAATTGTCCCACACAATTGTCAGATATCCATGATTTCATGGTAAATGCTTGACTGTTAAATATTCTCTGACTGACCAGTGTTGATAAAAGGGCTCAAAATGACACAATAAACCATTAATTTTATCTGAGTGTAGAGTTGATCTCATACGAATAATGATTGTGCAAGCATTTTGCAATGCCATGATAATGACTAACAGGAATCTGATAAAAGAAACTAGTTAGATGGTTATACATTGCCACAGATGCAATATGTATGCATTTGAATCATTTTTTCTGTATCGATATTGTGTCGCTAGCTTGCTGTTGAATGTATCACCAAATATTGATGATTCACATCTGTAACAGAGAAGAAAGAAATGGCGGGTTTAGCTGTTGGTGTGTCCAGCATGAAGGCTGGTGAACGTGCCCTCTTACATGTGGGCTGGGAATTAGGCTATGGGAAAGAAGGAAACTTTTCTTTTCCAAATGTTCCTTCCATGGCAGATATAATATATGAAGTTGAGCTTATTGGATTCGATGAAGTCAAAGAAGTAAGTTGCATCTAAATGATTACCAAGTAGATAGTTGTGAGTGTTAAAACTTTTGGTTCAAATTATATCTATCTGATTTGATTGCTAATGCAACGAATCTTAATGAGAGATGCATTTTATAGGGGAAAGCTCGTGGTGACATGACCGCAGAAGAGAGGATTGGTGCAGCAGATCGAAGAAAAATGGATGGAAATTCTTTGTTCAAAGATGAAAAACTCGAGGAGGCTATGCAACAGTATGAAATGGTACACTTGTTTAAGTTGTAATAAGTAGCATGTTAGATTTTTTCAGTTCTTCTTTTTGCTGTTCTTGACAAATTCTGGTGGCTTTTGTTCATATTAGGCCATTGCATATTTGGGTGATGACTTTATGTTTCAACTGTTTGGCAAGTATCGAGACATGGCGTTGGCAGTTAAGAATCCATGTCATCTTAACACAGCAGCTTGTCTGATAAAGCTTAACCGCTATGAAGAGGCCATTGCGCAATGCACCATTGTATGTATGCTTTAATGGATTAATTTTTCTGTTTACAACCTTTTATTTTTTGGTGTTGGATAATTTTGGTTTATATGCAATTGGAAAAGCAGGAATCTAACACAAGCTCAATCAGTCAGCTTTTCATTGTTTTCCCATTCCATGTTATTGAATAATTTGGGTATATATTGAAATTATTGCTAGACATTTTGAAGTAAAATGGTTCTGTATAGGCGAATTTGGCACCCCAGGAAGCCTTTAGCATACTGGCATCTCTATATAATCAATTGTTGTTTAGTTCCTTTGTTTTAGCTATTACTTCATGCTTTAGAATTAAATTGGTGATTTTGATTTTCGTAATCTTTGCCTATCTAATCAACTGAATAATGGACTCACAGGTATTGGCAGAGGATGAAAACAATGCTAAGGCTCTGTTCAGAAGAGGAAAGGCCAGGGCAGAGCTTGGGCAAACAGATGCTGCCCGGGAAGACTTTCTCAAGGCACGTAAACATGCACCTGATGACAAGGCAATTACAAGGGAGTTGCGAATGCTGGATGAGCATGATAAAGCTATATACAAGAAGCAAAAGGAGATATACAAAGGAATTTTCGGACCACCGCCGCCACCAAAACCCAAGCCAACTAATGTGCTGATTCGCATATGGCAATGGTTAATCCTCATCTGCCAATGGATGCTTTCACTGATTTATCGCCTCTTCAAGCGTGAAAGGCTCAAAGCCGACTAGTTGTAGGTCAACATGTGAGTGAATAATGTATGAAACCATATCTACTAAATTAAAGAGTTCCTGACCCTTGCATAACGAAGCTCTCACAAACTCTTAATGTTTCATGTTACATTGGATTCAACATCGTTTGTGCACTTAGATGGTCGCACTTGCTGGCTTTGATTATTGATCTCAAGATAGATTAGTCAGATTGTGAATTAAATGCTTTTGCAGATAGCTCAAATATTTTATTCTTGGTGCAAATTGGACGTTCCGAATGAATGAAGTCACTTTACTTGTGAGGTATAGTTTAGAACATAAGGTCTATTGCACTGATGGAGGGTTTAACGAATCTGATTTCTGGAAACTAAACTATTTTGCTATTTGAGAGCAGATTGTCGCACCAGTGGTGGTTTGAGTTTTGAGTGATCATCGTACAAGGTGTTTCGCTTTGCAGATGTCCTGAATCCAAAGCAAAATCAATGAAATATGAGTTTCTTTATCGACAATTTCGAGGCAAATTCGGGAGAAATCGTTCTTTGAGCAAATTGGATTGTGTACCGTAACGTTTTGTGGAAATCAGTATAACAACTGCAGGAAACTCTAGATTGCTACTTAATGGTGCTGCGGAAATCAAGATGGGCATTAATCCTCAGAAGCTAGGACATATTTTTGACGATCAACGTTCGACGTGATCTAAATAACGAGAGAAAGATTTAAAAAAATACAGTTTTGTACTTCTTATCTTATTGTTTATTTGTTGAGGAAGTCCCCCAATAAATATTGAACAAAAACTACAGAAAAAAACCGGAAAAATCCAAGCTACTGACAAGATCATATAAAACATCTATCTGCCTTAATAACAAGATGAAGAATAGGCATAATGGTTTAACGGTCTACCATTACTTGAGCATGGACATCCAAGCACAATATGCACAAACAATCTTTTGTGATATGTACACATAGACAGCAAATGACAAACTCATCAGCATCACGTCTTTCCAATCACCCTTCTGCTTAGGGCTCAAATCATCCTTCAATCCCTTCCCAAACTTCTCTATACTGCCAAAGAGTTGCCTCACCAGCTGCTTGCCTTGCTTGACTTCTTTCTTTGCTTTTGAGCTAGAGGTATCGATTGGCTCACCTCTTTGACAAGATAAAAGAAAGAGGAGTTTTGGGCAGTTTTTGGTTTTCAGTTCTTGAATTGAACTGTTACTGCCATAGAGAGAATGAACCATTGAGAGAGCTGCCATGGAAGAAAAACAGATGTAAAATTAGAAACGGTGATGTTAGGGTTGTTGGAAGTGTGAAGTAGAAAAAATGGTTTTGATTTTGATCATGTACGATTTGTGGATTGCTTGTGGAGGTGTTTATGTTTGACCTTAAACTTTGTCACTACATCATAAGAAAAATATCTTGGAATAGGGACGCAAATATTTGCCTCACGTTTTTTTTCAGCTGCAAGGAAATGGATAAGTCACCACAGACAATACTGTAGAAGGAGGAGGATAAACAGCCTGTGAATAAGTTGTGGTTCGCATGAAACTAATGGGGGCATTCTGGGGTACAAAGATAATAGCCCAACCCCATCAAGGACTTTTGCTTCTTCATCTTTTCTTCTACTTCTTCTTGCTTAATTTTTTAATAGTGACTTTTGAAAGCTCTTTTGACCGTGGAAGAGACCGAACTACTTTGTCTTTTTTCTTTTTCCCCCTTTTTGTAATTGGAGAAGATGTTGAACTTGGGGGTGGAATTAAAACGGAAAAGTTTTTGGACCTTGATTTTCTCCATTGATTGATCACTTACGAGATGTTACGCGATAATTACAGAGAAAAAAATTAATTGTTTTCTTTTTGAAGTTGGAGACGGACATGTAACATTTTTCTATACGATGAAATGAAAAATAACAGATTTTCTACGTAACAGTCAATTAACGAATGTCTAAATTAGCATAACTGTGTTATCAAATCCTAGCCATCACTCTCCTTTGTCGTATATCCTTCTTTAATATATATATATATATATATATATATATATATATATATATATATATATATATATATATATAACAACTAGCTCTTTTTTTTTTTTTTTCTGTTTCATTTTGTTTTTTTCGTGTGTTAGCAATCTAGATATACATTTTATTTGCACAAAATATATGTTTTGTTAAAATATTTTGTCCTTTAAATAAGATTTAGATTTTTTTGCTGAATTCTAATGGGTGTTTTTTGTTTGTTGAAAAAAATTTATGCTCTTTGATAATTTTAGGTGGTTGAGATTTTATGTTCTTGGAGCTTGATAACACTCTTCATTTTTATATTGATTTATAATTATACTAAACTCGATTGTGTGTGTGATGTGAAAAAAAAAAAATCTTATATTGGACAGTATTTATTAAAAAGTTCCGATAAATTTTTATTAACGTTTATATAAAAAAACTATTTACTACCTAAAAGATTATTATTCATTATTATTGTAAAAAAAAAACTGTCTAGTTTTTTAATTTAACAAGTTGCAATTACTTTCTTAGATTTTGGTATTATTGTGCCCACTAAAAATGACGATGTATTTGTTTAATTTGTATTATCAATGAAATTACCATAGTCTATATGAAAAACCAATGTCTAAATTACAATTAAAAAAAAGAAGTCTAAATCACTCTTCTTCTTTTCCACTTTTCAAGAGCCTTACGTTTTTTACGAAAAGAAAAAGAATGCATTAAATTAAGCCATGAAAAATCTTTCAATAAATCAATATTGGTCATTCCATATCATTATTGTATTTTGATTATATTTATAAAATCAAATTTAAAAACATAAATATAATTATATAAAGCTTGTCTCTTTTTGTTTTTGTTTAAAAAACTAACAATCAATTGTTAAAATGAAACAAAATGATTTCCGAAAATTATGTCACGAACTGTTGGTTTTGCTTTTTTGTTTTTCCAACAAAAAAATATTATATTTCTATTTTCAAATATTTAAAAGCAAAAACTACAAATAATAACAAATCATCTCTTAATAAACTAGTCATTGACACTTGCTTTGTAAGTGTATTGTTTATCTAATTTGTAGATTTTTTTTTCTAATTTTTAATATATTATCTATAATTATTTACGAATAAACAAATTTGAATGTTTATTAAATAAACACATTTGATTTTAAATAATGATTTATAAATTAAGTTGTTTAATTTTTTAACCGTATAATATAATTTATAATTTTACTTAATTAAGAATTAGGGACACAATTGAAATATCTTTAAAAAACTATTAATTAATAGTTAGGACAAATATATAAAACTCTTAAAATAGTAATTACTAATTTTTTTTTTACTTAACATTACATTATTATAGACTTTTTTTTCAATTATATATGACATGATTATAAATTAACAATGCATATATGAATAAAGATTTTATAAGTTATATTTTTTTAACATTACATTATATAAATATTATCGGTTCGGATGAGTAAAACATAATGCAAGACAATAACAAAAACCATCCCTTAAAAATTCCTTAAAAATTAATTAAGGATTTAATTTAATATTTTGATTTAATCTATTTTATTTTTTTTGGATTTTAATACTTTTTTATTGGCTTATTTAAAATTTTTTTTTATTGTCAAAATAAAGTATCAATATAGTAATGTATAGTTTAAGAGTGAGTTAAATAGCTTATTTTATGTTGTTTAGGATTTTATGTGGTTTATAGATAGAAAAAATAAAAAAACAGAATTAACCTATATCTTAGGATTAATCTAAAAATACAGTCTAATTTTTTAGGAATTAATGGATTTGTTTTTTTATAAGAAATTTACCAAAAGTGTTTTTTTAATTAAAACTAGGGATTAATTTACTTATTAATATTGGTAAATGTATTGCAATGCTAATATTTTATTAAAAGTATAATAGTGAATCAAAATTTTTATAGAATTTTTTATTTTTGTATATAGTTATGGAGTATTGGTGGCATCAGAATTCTTGTGGTAAATCATTTGTTCATAAGTCATCACATTGACTCGCATTCGGTAGAGCCCATACACGCGATTTTAAAATCGTACTCCTTCTAGGGCCAATCCATGTGGCCCAAGTCGCTGACTAGTGTTTTCCGTCTTCCTCTGCAAGGACAACCTATACGTATGGTTTTCTTTTTGACTAATCACGACGCCGATCGTGGGGCCAACTAAACGCCTAATCAAACACCAACAATCCATGATTGTACTTAAAACTTATAGAGAATTTTACAAAACCTGAATAGTCAAAAAGCTGAATATCTTATCTTCAATGTGGTTTTGTATATGACGTCAAAAGTCTCTGCAGGAGTCAAACCGTCCTTGTCGTTTCTTTTTTCACTTTTTAAATAAATGTGCACAAGTAGAGAATAAATAGAAACTCGCTGTTTACAGGCTACACGTTTAACATACTGACAACCTGTACGGTCTAGATCTTGAGTAGTGGTCTCTGGATTACATCTTCGGGTACCGGGCGATTGGGTTTGCTTTTGAAAAGTAAATGCCGGCTTGAAGGGAAAACAACCGCTACCAAAGCTAGCCATTAGGAGGACCTTATTATATGTGTTTCTGAAGTTACAAGACTTGAAAGAGCCATTACACCAGTTACGCGAAGACACGTACGCAGTACTTATTTTGGTGAAGGAGGGACTAAAATTCTTTTTAGTAGAGAGAAACATAAGATAGCGTGTACGTAGTTTTATTTGTGACAGAATCGTAACAAATGGGCCTTCTCAAGCGCTTACTTTACGTTCCTAGCAATACTATTAAAAGCTTCAACAATTAGACAAGCATAATAAATAACAATAACAGCAACAATAATAATGTTTTAAATGATGAGTGCAATTCCTTTAATTTGTGAAAAGACAATCTTTAAAATTGAAAAAAATGATATTAGTGTGCAAATGATAATATTTAACGATTCATCTATTAAGCATACTTTAAATACAAAATAATTTAACAAAATATTTAAAAAGTTAATGTTAGAAAACAAAGTAAAAATACAAATTAAAAAGATAATAAAAAAATCACGCCGGTTTACTTTATGACTAAAATACAAATTCTTATTAGTTTTTTAAATAATTATCAATAAAACGAATAAAATTCATATTTATAGTATAGACAATTAAATTCATTAACAAATATTAATGGATCTATATACTTGGTCCAAAACCCAATCATATTGTCCAATACATTATAACAAGCTCAAATATATCGTGGACCTTTCGGAGGCTCTATTCTCGAGTTTTCGCAAATGATACTATCTTCTTAATTTGTGATCATTAATATAAATTAATGAATTATCGTATTAACTCTGTATAGTATACTATATTGTGATTCATATTCACATTAATTTTCATAATTTAATATTTACCCAACATCAAGAAAGCAAAAGTCTGTATAATCTAAGGTTTTAAATTTGATTATAGTCATCGGCATTTTAAGAAAGCAATATATCAATATCCAATTAACATATTAAGTTTTAAAATTTTAATTAGATATTTTTAAATATACATGAGTGTGCAAAACATAATTTTTATTTAATCTTACGTGAAGCAATAGTTTTACAGAAGCAACGATTAGTATTGAGCAAATAATTTAAGAAATTTTATCTTTTGTTTCAAAAAGAGCTAACGTCTGAGTTAAAAATATTAAAAATATTTTAAATATAAGGTATATTTTGTATAAAATATTTTGAATCAGATTACTTGTCAGTGGAAGTTAATTTTTTTATTTACATTGGTATAATATATTTAAAAAAGAAATTTTATAAAAATACTGATATTAAGGTCAGAATTCAACCTCTTTTTCAAAAAAAAAAAAACCGCTGAATCTACATAAAATAATCCGGTTTTTCTTTCACTTCAAATCAAATCCCTACCCTTTCAGGAAGTCGAGTAAACGCACGTTCGAAAGACGAATTGGCTTGCGCACGCTTGGCTCGGCCCGGCCTGGCTTTGCGTATCCAACTCTCTATCTTCCTCTCCCCAAATTAAATTAAATTGAAAATCAACAGCAGTTAAACTGCGTTGACTGAAATAAGATGTAAAGAAAGGAGGACACCGTAACGTTACAAGGCAGACAGGCACCAACAACACCCCTTGCTTTCCCAATTCTCACCCTTCTTTGGTCCCTATTCACTCTTCTTTACCTCACCGCACCTTATTGCTCCACCGCATCCCCGTCTCTTCTCTTTCCAGTCGCCAGTCGCCTTCCTCTGTCCT